GTCAATGGCATTGTTGTTCAAAAGAGGCTTAGAACAACAAAATGCTTCTCAAAGAACATTATGAAGAAACGGTATATCAAAGAAAGCTACAACATGGCTCATCCATAGTACAGAAAAATAGTGACGATATTTGGCAATAATACCAGGGCCTAAAGAGGCGCTTACTTTGTCGAGCTTCTCAAAGGAATCAGCACGGCGGGGAACCCAGCCCCTAATGGCTTCCCCCGCGACCGCAGCAAGCCAAGGAGGCCACCCAGCTGCCACCTGCTCCCCCTCCACAGCCTTTGGGACAGTGCCAATGACCTGCATCGGGTGGCTCCGTTGTGCCGGCCTCTCCATCACTCTCCTCCTATCGGCGTCCATTCCATTAGCACGAATCGGTCCGCTCCCCGCTCTCTTATCCACCGCCACTACCTGTGCAACCGCGTCCACCCTAACCCCGACCACTTCCTCGCGCATCAACGAAGACACCGCCGCCGCCATCCTCTTCGCCGGCGCATCCGCCTGCAAGGGCGCCGCCGCTGCCGGCAGCCGCGAAGCGGGCAGCCTCTGGCGAGGGCTCCCTCTACTGTCCTCGATGACGAATGGCTTGCCACAGGCGCAACCCATGGACTCCCCGGGAAGATCCACCACCAGCTGGCTCACCGCCGCCCGATCAGCGCCGCGGTCACCTCCTCCTCGTCGACGCCCATCGGAAGGGATGCCAAGAGCGACGCCGAAGCCGTGGAGGGAAGATCGATCGGCTCGGCAAGGGTCAGCCGCAAGACCGGGGTGTGGGTTTCTTCTTCTAGGGTTTCCCGATCGGGTCTTCTTTGGATTCTTTGGAGGTGGGGATCGATGTGGCGCTTCTCTGCTCTGCTCTGCTCAGCTCTGCTCCCTCTCGGGCAATGTTTTTTTGTTAGGGCACGGACGGACGAGCGGGCGAGCGAAGAAGTGACGCTACATTGCAAAAGAAGAGAAAAGAAAAAGACGAATCTTTTCTAGCATTTGCTTGCTTTGATCATTATTGATTCTTGTGATCACTCGACACAACACTATGTTTTCATTTTCGACAAAATTACACATATATCCCTATGCAGTCGGTGATTGCCGTATTTATCTTCTATTTTTAAAAATTAATATATCACTTCAAAAACATAATACACGTAATTCCAAAATTATCGTATCTTAATAATACAAACGAATTTTGATGGCAAAATATTATTCTAACAAGCAGTGATCCTATTAGATAATAGTAAAATTTGTCGACTTATTAGCAACCTTATTATATTTATGATATATCTACTAAAACTTCGGAATCAATTTTCACATTCAATGTATTGAAATTTGTCATGTCTATATTTTTAAGTTCTTCAGAATGACATAAAAATCTTAAATAAAAAAATATAACATCTGATTTAGTTTTAATATATTTATTTATTAATATATGAAATGACATGCATGTAACATTAAGGGTAAGTGTAAAGAAGAATATACGAAGGACATGTTATTATTCTTTGTTATTACACTAATCAATTTAAATATGTGGTCTTTATATCAACCGTCGCAACAATAAAATCTATTAGAAAAGTTTTGTCCTTTCGGAACATAAGTTCTAAAAGATATTTTTGAAGTTAAAGAAGACATGACAGATTTATAAGCTCTTGATTTTATAAGATATGACTAAATAATATTATTAAATATATATATATATATATATTATAGTATTACTGGAAATAGCGGTCAACTGCTCATTAGTTCATTGATGGGTTCATAATAACCAGTCAGCACGCATGTTGCAAGCACAAAGTGCAGAACCAAAAAGTCACAACCACCAAAAGCTACAGAATGAATCATATCGTACGGACATATATTTACTCCCAAATAATTAATGATACAGAAAAAATATATATGAACAGATATTGTGTGGCCAAAGAAATGGATCTGCCCGTTGTCTTCTATTTTTCTGAGACATGCAACAGAAACCGCAGAGCTTTAACTTTAACAGCCATGCATTGCCCAGTAGTAGTTCTTCCAAACTTGATCTCAGCTCCTTGCTCAAAGGATCATGTACCTGCAGAAAGAAACATGAACAGTGTTGCGCCAAGGATACGACTCCCCCCACTTATATCCGTGGGGTCTCCGGCAGCATCGCCTTGTTGTGTCGTGGGGTGGGGGTGAGGGTGACAACGACAACCGAGTAAACGAAGGGATTGTGATCCATGGTCAGCTTTCTTTTGTTCTTCCCACCGAGTTTCTTCTCCTTGTTTCTCAGTGCAAGCTCCAAATATGAATAAAGGAAGAAAGAAAGGCTCCTCTTTATCTGTTCCAAAAGGGAGGAGAACGCTTTACAGCACAAGGATACTTGCGAGTGATCAATGGCGGATTCTGGTGCAGTTCCTTTTTGTCTCTTATACCAACCCAATGTTCACGTGCTCCGCCATCGTTCCCCGCTGTTTGACCTTGGAGACCTCAACCCCAAGAGAGAGAGAGGATATAGTAGAGCTGGAGCTACTCCACTTCTCACTCTTATGGGTGGCCATCACTGCCTTGTACTATCTCTGAAACATCACTGTTAAAGAGTACTGCTGGGGAGAGTAACTTTGGCAGCATTTTACCGTGATAAAGAAGTCGTAATTGCATCCTCCATGTTTCAGCTGCATGCATGCCAACGAGAAGAAAGTTGGGGGAGAGGGAGGGTAAAGAGTGGTGCTGCCTCGTTCTCGTAGATGCTCTTATCGTCTGCCACTGCCGCAGGACCGTGTCATTATAGCCGGTTGTCATCTTCCGCCTCTGTTGCATGTTAGGGTGGCACAACCAGAGAGAACAGTCACACCCGTTGCAAGAGAATGAATTCATCTCTTCCGTAGCACTGCAGACACAATTATATATATATAATTTTGGTAAACAATAATATTATCGACTTGAATTGAATCTAAAGCTTATGAACAAATCAAATACAATTTAAATTTGGTATCACCCAATCCTCATCTTCTTGAGCAAGAAATGGATCCATACTTCGTTGCTAAGATTCAGTTAACATGGAATAATCTTCCAAAACTTTCGATCGGGCGAAAACCAAATCCTTCGATCGAATGTTTCCAAGTGTTCTTTGGATTTACACCAACAACAACAGTGTGCGACTTTTAGGCTGCCGGTGATATCAGAATGTAGCCATGTGTGATGAGCTGATCTTGACTTTTGCGGACGTGCAGATTAACGTGCAGTTGTCGGACGCCAATGAATTGCGTGGGCCCCATTCCAACGCGTGTGGGCAAACAACTCACCTACATGCGAACAGAACGGGTGGAGAACACAGAACCAATGAGCGTTCGACCGAAATCTATTATGGAGTACTCGAGCCCGGATTTGACGCATCGGCAGATCGAGATTAAGCCTTCGATTGACTTGGTCGGGATCACGTCGACGGTCTGGACTCCAAATCAAGACACGAATCACCACACACAGTGGTATAAATAGACCTAGTCCCGGTTCAATTCGAACCTAAACTGGACCGGAATCGAACCGAGCTGGAATCAGTTTGGACAGTTCGATTCTAATTCTTGATTTCTGAGAATCGAAATTGATGATTTCAATTTCAATTCCAACCGATGATTTTAAATTAAAACAAAAAAGAAGAAGAAGAAGAGTCGACGGCGATGGGTCCATCGACTTGTGAATCATGTGGAACGCCCACAAAGCATCGGCCACATCACGTGGACGGTGCCGGAAAAACCAGTCCAAGAATGGCCGCGTCTTCGGAATGATGTGGAATGCGAGATCACAAGAATGGTTGTTTTCGATCCAATAAAAGTATTTGATGATGTTGTTTGTCGTTGCATATTTTCCTCGCTTTTATGTCCTGCTCGATCGATCCATTAAAGAAAAGAAGCAATCTCCTGTTAAGGAATGTGAGATCCAACGAAAAGGAATTTGCGAGAGCAGCAACATGGGATTTATTATTATTTGATTCACTTAGCTCGTGTGATTCACATTTTTGAAATGAAAATTCAGCTTGTTTATTTGGGAAATATGATCAAACTTAGTTCATGATTCGAGTGACGAATGCTTATTTTGAGGCAGCGAAAATTTCTCGATCCACGTTAGTGCCAATGGCCTTCATCCATGCAAGCCCAAAAGGCCCATCTTTTCCAAGCATTCGTAGATCGTTTGAGGATTGACCGGCAGGAATCTCGCGGTGAGAACGTTTAACGTTGGGTTTGAGGATTGACCGGCAGAAATCTCGCGGCGAAGACTGCAGCAGCAACTGCTGCCGCTGTCGGTGGAACGAACCGGTGTCGGTGAGCGAGCGAGGCCCCCTTCGGAGTTGCGCTGTTCCTTCGTCATGATCTGGTTGACTGTGGCATCACACCCGATTCTATTATCAACCTCTCACCTGCCCACCAAACCTACCACTCCATTCAGATCGAAGTATCAAGCAAGTGTTGCTGCAACCCTACTGCTGTGCACTGCCCATTTCCACGAAATATATCGAGTTGCCCTAAATCGGCGTGGTCCTCATGGAAGGTAGGTTGTCACCACCAAATACCCAACGCTGGATAACGTTGTGTGCCCCTATACTTTCCTCCCCCCAAAAACATTTGGTATGTGGACGCAATAAGAAACCTTACATTTTTATTTTCATTTCATTTCATTTTGGGCATTGACTAAGACGCCTCACTTGCACAGCCAATCATGATGCGCCACCTAATGGTCTGTTCCACCGTGTTGACTACGTCCTTCGATTAGGTTTCGTGTGGTAAATGAGCAGAACCTTTATGGGTAGAATGTTCTCCCGTGGACATTATACAGGTGATTTCACAGGGTTTTGTTAGCATATTCCAGCTGTATGCTCACATGATCTGGCAGGAAAACAATTAGATCTGGCAAGAATCTAAAAGAGTAATGTTCATAACTGCAATCTTATACATATCCATGCAAGATGTAGGAAGTTAGCACGACGACTAGCTAATACTTGTCCTACAAGTATTATAATGCGTCCATTTGCTTTGATGCGGTCTCACATGACTAATTTATGGGGCCGAAGACGTCGTGATGCTAACAGTTCACCAAATCCCCTGCCCACCATTTTCTTCATGGCTCTCCTTCTTCCTCTGTATCCTCCGTAGGCTCACAACGAAAGCAACGATTCTGTGATCTGTTCGACCTGCACAACCGCTGGTCGGAAGGGGTGGGAAGCAAAACATCACAGGCTCGTTTGTGGATGCATGTGATCGATCACTCGTCGAGCTTCTTCGGATCGGAATGAGCATCTTTACGGGAAGACCCGGCAGCTGGCTTAAGCCTTCTGCAGGTCACAATAGGGCGAGAGCAGGGAACGGGATCGTATATCCAGTTCTGGGAATTGCTGTGTGTGTGGCCTTGATATACCTGATGCTTGGGGACTTCAAGTTCTCTCCTGGGAAGTCGCAGCTGAGCTTTGTGCAGAGGAATGGCACCCAGTTCGTGGTGGATGGGAGGGCGTTCTATGTGAACGGATGGAACTCCTACTGGCTGATGGATCAATCTGTGGAGGAGTCCAGCAGGCCGAGGGTCAGTGAAATCTTCCAGACGGGTGCGAAGATGGGAATGACCGTCTGCAGGACTTGGGCCTTCAATGATGGTGCCTACCATGCTCTGCAGGTCTCACTCGGCATCTTCGATGAGCGGGTCTTCAAGGTATGACATGTTCTTCCCTTCCCTTCTCTTTCTTTTAGGGTTCTTGGCCTCATGGGCTTGCTCTATATCCTAAAAAAGTGATGGAACAAGAACTTTTCGGGATCATTACGAGCAGATTTCGTGGGTTTCCTATGGATCGGTCTAATGATCGTTGATCTGTTTGAGTAGATCTGTCCATATGTTTGTTCAACGACCTGAGGCATTTCATCGAACACGTTATGTTCAGAAAGCAACACAAATATGGTGTTCTCCGTTAATAACCGGAGTTATGGCAGGCATTGGACTGGGTAATCGTGGAAGCACGAAGACATGGGATCAGGCTGCTGCTGAGCCTGGTTAACAATTTGCAGCACTACGGTGGGAAGACGCAATACGTCAAATGGGCATGGGACGAGGGTTTTGGGCTGAGTTCTTCAAATGATTCCTTCTTCTTCGATCCTTCAATTCGTAGTTACTTCAAGATTTACTTGAAGGTAATACATTCTTTCCTGTTTAGTTTCTGTAAGCATCTCCTTTGTTGGTTGTCCCACACTTTGAGCAATCTCGATCTCCGGCAATCAACACCACTGAGTCAGTGAGGAATCTGTAGCCATTTCATGAACCATTGACCATAAATCCCTTAGATCTATTCAGCAACTATTTGAACCGTTTCATAAAATAGGGGATGGATACGAAGAAGCGATTCCTTCTCTATCAATTGTTGCAGGAACCCTTAACCTATCAAGCAATTTGATCATCGACACTGTCTACGTTGAAACTGAGTTATCATTCATTTTTGAGCTGATATATTGGTTTAGAAATCATGTATGTTCTTCATTTCATGCCCTTTAAAGAATTCTGATAGAATTATAGGAGTGATTTCTTAATCTAATTTGGCTTATTTACAGACCATATTGACAAGGAAGAACCATTTAACTGGAATTGAGTACAGGGATGATCCCACAATCTTCGCTTGGGAGTTGATGAATGAACCGCAATGTCAATCGGATGCTTCTGGTGACACTCTCCAAGTATGTTGCTAGTTGTTACTCAAATTTTGTTCAGTCTGTGCATATATGACAACTAAACAATGATGTATAGCTTTACTACTTCCCAGAAAATATAGATCAATCTAAATTGTAGCAACTAATTGTAAAAGCCTTTTTTCCAGAAAAAAAGAAACTAATGTAAAACCTTCAATGCTTATTTTCTTCAGTTCGGAACCACTGATTGCTATAACAATAAGTTGACTTCATTCTCCGAAAGTTTCTTGTATACCTTCATACAGTTTTTTCCACTGAATGCATTGATTTCTAACCGATGTCCTACTGCATCATTTTGCTGATAATTGTGATAAATTAGGAGTGCTTGAGAAAAATCATGGTAGCATCATTGTTCTCAAAGTTTTTGATCCTATACATACAAAATTTTGGAGATTTGAATTATCATTTGGTTATAAACAATTGCAGGAATGGATCGAAGAAATGACAGAATATGTGAAAACGATTGACAAGAAGCACCTATTGACGATTGGACTTGAGGGGTTCTATGGACCAGTAAGTCCTGAAGTGAAGCAAAACATCAATCCAGGAAAGTGGTATAGCACTCTAGGATCGGACTTCGTTCGCAACTCCAAAGTCCCCTATGTCGACTTTGCTTCTGCGCATATATATCCTGATCAATGGTATTTCCATCAACGACTCCTCTTGTTTGTAATTTATTATGCATAGAACTAGATAAATTTGCATGCACAGGACATCGGTGAAAGAAATGTGGATGATTTGCTACAATGGCTGAACCTTTCTTGTTCTCAAATGCAATGCCATTCAATCAAATACCACGAGAGATTCAAAAGAGTAATTTTGTTCTCTGTAGGTTGGTAGAAGCAGATCTCAATGAGAAAGTCGAATACATCTCCAAATGGATCACATCTCACATTGAAGATGGTGAGAAAACACTAAATAAGCCGATCATGTTCACTGAGTTTGGCCTCTCCACAAAGGCAAAGAACTTTGAATACTCGCACCGAATAATATTCTACAAGTCTATCTTCAACAAAATCCACGAGTCTGCGAGACAAAATGGAGCTGGAGCAGGTGCCTTGATATGGCAACTATTGGTTCAGGGAATGGAGGATTACAATGATGATTACGGGATCGTGCCAAGGGAGAGACCTTCTGTAGATAAGTTGATCAAAGAGCAGTCATGTCAGCTGATAGCAGTGCGATACGGGAAGAACTCAGTAGACAAAAGCTCTGTAATCTGCTAAAAGACATTGCCTATGTCTTCCATTTCCTCTTCTTCCGACCAACCACAGCAGTTCTTTCCAAGAGCAGTATCTGATGGTACAACTCAAATTTTTGGACAACTGCAACCAGATATATGTCCTTGGCATTTTATTTGGCTCTCGTCTTGGCCATTCTTTCCCAGAATGATTCACAAAGAACCGCAGAATGTTTTCATTAGCCACTTTGATGAGTGATCAGAATATGACGACAGTAAATACTATGGTGTATGTTTCAATCTCATTTTCCTTTGGGTTTTGAGTTTCGAGCAGATGATTGTGAGATTTTACTTTGAATTTTATTATTGTTTTACCGCAGACAGATTTTAGCATCACAATCAGGTTGCCCAGCAAACCTTCTTGTGTTCTTGGTCTCTGTTTGTGAAGAATTGCCATGTACTTTGTCGTGTTTAATAGAGGATCGACCTGAAGGTCCTTTTGAGATGTTTGGTTATTATGATCACCTACCATGATGTATGTGCGGTAAAGCCCCCCGATATTAAGTCGGTTTTAGTATCACAATGATACATGAATGATAAAATCCAATGATGACTCTCCGATATTAAGTCGGTTTGAGAATCATTTGTCATGATAATATTCAAGTTATTAGTAATATTATAATCTAAGTTAATCTAATCTAATGATATACTTAAACTTTTATAAATCAATCTGAATCTTTATCCACTATAGATTAAACCAAGATATTACAAAAGAGGCTAAGGCATTAATAATGATTTGGCTCCATAAATGAAGCAGATAAAACTTGCGGGTTTCAACGACTCACAAAGAAACCTTCTATTAATCCATAAGGATAATAGCATGGCTAATACTGAGTTTCCCTCAATTTCAACACACCCGAGTATTAGGAAAAATAAAAATTCGAGATAAAAGCATATATTTTCTTATTATTTTGAGGTGAATAGTTCCTCTATTTGGATCCTAAGTTGGGCTCAACACACAAACTTAGAAGCTCCAGTCTCATGGTGGATCTTAAAATGGATCTCGACTACTATTACAATACAAAGTTCACCATCATCTTGACTATAGTAGTAACAATAAATTCAGGCCATCCACTGTTTATAGTTTATATTTCTCAATCCTTTGTGTTTCTTTTCAGGAGAAAGAGACAATTTCTTTGTTTATTATACTGCACAGTACAGCAAAGCACTTTTTTTGTTTTACTTAATCTAATACCGAATATTATTCCCATAGTATGTATCATTCAGACACCCCAATAATCTTTCTACTGTGCAATCTTTTATTCTGAAAGAATAAGGTACAGAGGTCGTCATCACTCTGCATGGAGTGTATGTGCTATTCTCGAAACATAAAATTTGCTTGGTGGATTGAAATAATAATTCAATGCGTAAAGATCATATTTTCACAACACACGAAGTAAAATATTGGTGTTTAGGCACACAAAATACTACCCTTGATGAGTAAACTGTTGTATATTTAATGTGGGGCCCCGGGTGTTACTTGAAGTTGCAGTGTAGGGAGCATGGAGGTATGCTTCACCTGTATGTGCATGCACATCTCTCCCATGGCTCCATCTCCATGACCTGAGCAAGTACTTGCTCATTATTAGCATTATTGCATGCCGATATATATATATATATATATATATATATATATATATATACCACCATGGCTACAGAGCAATTCCTGCCAAGTTTCTGTAGCAGAGTCCAGTGATGCAGGACACGGCCAGGGTTATGTCGATGCGCACTTGTACCATCAGGTGAGGTGTCTGCCATCACTTCATTCCACGTTCAGCCACAACCCCCGCCCGGCTTCCACTCGGCAGTCGAAGACGGGCGATGGGTCGGCTTCGTACACGTCATGTCGAAGGCTATTAAGGCTGCGCCCTGCACTTGCCCATTCCCTCACCTACCCATTACACCCTTTGGCATCCGCTCCACCTACCGAAATCTTCACATGAATTGCCCGTATCTCCCCCTCCGTCGACTGTACTCGGACGGGGGATTTAGATGTGTGCTTCTTGACAACTCATCTTCATGGAGGCACAACAACTCGGCGGTTGTCATCAATGCCCGTTGGCCTCCTCCAGCTTAATACACCTCGATTTGGATTTGGATCCATGCGTTGTTGTTCACGATGCCACCGGTGGATCTGTTGGGGATTGTATTCACCTGAACAGTTGGACAGATTCTTATTATCTTGTTGGTGGATCAAAATGGTAACCTTCATGGATGGCAAAAAGAAGCTTCTTCATTCGACTGCAGCAGGAAGTACCAGTATCTTAAATTTCCGAGCGATGCTGCAAGTGCAAACGAGCTATGGGACAATTCACCCACGTAATCTAAAACAGGATCACCTCGATCCAGGCGTTTGCTGCCGATGTAGCGCGGCTTCAGTCGCAATAATGTTACCGTGCAGATTCACCCATCTCTTCTTGGTCCCTTCCAGGCTATATATGTACAACGCAACCGTCAAAGAAGACGATTGAGGAGGACAACAACTAGCCATGACAACCAAGTCATGGGAAGAAGACCTACGTGATATCTAAAAGAAGACTAGGTGTAGAATCGCTAAGTTGTCGATAGGTGGTGTAGGAAGGAAGAAAGATCTTGCTAGGTTGTGCAGCAAATAATTGATCATGGGTACTCGGTGATGACCAGTGGTGATGGGTCTTGGGGGAGTAAATGGGTGAGAGAGTGGTCCAGAAGGTGGTGAAGAGAATGGCAAACTGGAGCATTGAATGTTGGGAGGATGAAGTAAGTAACAGATAAAACGGGAGAGCCTCGGGGAACACTGTACTGCTAGGGAGTAGTGGGCGCAAGCGTCATTGGGAAATGATGGGGAATGCGAGGTCGGTGGCGTGTCGCTTTTAGACCGCACGCTTCCCCTCAATTAAAACCCCTCCCTGCCCTGCTCCTCGGCCTCCCAACTCTCCCATCTCCTTCTTCTTCTTCTTCTTCTTCTTCTCTCCCTCCGTCCGTCTCTTCGAAATGTGTTTGCTTCCATGGTGTCAACTCGACGGTAGCAGCTCAAGGTTTCTTCTTCTTCTTATCCAAGAAAAACTTGAATCTTCATCTTCTACTCGTTCCAGGCACTTGTAGAGGAAGCCCCGCAGCTACTCCAACCAAATCACCCTATCCTTTGAATCACATCTATCGGTTCCAGAAGCTATACACGTCCGTCACTCCACTCAAGCCTCCGATGCCAATGCCGGTTTCTCTTGTTCGCCAGCAAGTCGTTCGTCCACCTAAATAAACAAGGCCGCGAGTTTCTAAGCTTACCTTTCCGAGCCAAAGCTAAAGAACTCTGCTCTCGAACGCGCCACCTTCCACCAACTATTACTTTCTGTAGCCTGCATCACGCGGGGGCAACGTGAGAACGCCATCAGGAAGCTTGCTTTTTGGAGTGAACAGTATCGGAGAAGGACATCACACGGCATCGCAACCAAAAGGATCAGTCCTTTTGACATCAATGGCGGACACCCGCAACTCCTCTGAGCCGGAGAGCAGCGCCAATTCGATGTCTTCTTCCCTCTCCTCCCCGTCCTCCACCACTACCTCCTCTTCACCTTCCCGAGCCCTTCAGGCGATTGACGAGTCGAACCAGGCGATGGCTACCTCTACCGGGGGGAGCAAGAGCGGCGCCGGAACGAAGCGGCCGCGGGATGGGGGTACGCTGCCGGCGTACCGCGGCGTCCGGATGCGGGCGTGGGGCAAGTGGGTCTCGGAGATCCGGGAGCCCCGCAAGAAGTCGCGCATCTGGCTGGGGACGTTCCCCACGGCGGAGATGGCGGCGCGGGCACATGACGTGGCCGCACTCAGCATCAAGGGCGCCACCGCGGTACTCAACTTCCCCGAGCTCGCCGCCACCCTTCCGCGCCCGGCCACCCTCTCCCCCCGCGACGTCCAGGCAGCCGCCGCCAAGGCCGCCGCCATGGTCCCGGCGCCGTCTCCGGCTACCCCCGACGATCCGGACACCTCCGACGAGCTCGGGGAGATCGTGGAGCTGCCGCGGCTGGACGGTTGCCTCCTCGACTCGGCCAATTCCGGGGGCGAGTTCGTGTACCACGACGCGGTCGACTCGTGGGCGCCGTGGGTCGAGACCGAGTTCGGGCTCGAGCCAGATCAGATGTGGGATCCGACCACCTTCGGAGCTCTTCTATGGGACTATTAAGGCTGCTCAAGCTCTTACTCTCTCTCTCTCTCCCTCTCACTCTCACCATGCTCACTAATGCCCTCTAATTTTTCATCCAAGCTGAATGGCTTCTCTCTCTTCTTCCTTTTCTTTTCCAATCCAAGCATGTCTTTTCTTTTGTGTGTGTTGAGTTTTCGTGTGTTAAAAAATCGATTTGTATAGTTCTCAAAAAGAGTGGAAGAATAAATTGTGATCACTGTTTTGTGTGAATGACCAGTTTGAACCACCAACCTTGGGAACTTTTCTCTATCCTTCACACCCAGCTCTATTTTATTTGTTTCCTATTCCCAACTTTATGATCTTAGATATTATTTCAGCTTCATAGCAGTCATACACCACAGAATATTCCTATTCCAATTATTTTTGTAGCATCCCAGCCTCAAATTATTATCAATGACTCTTTTAACTTTTTCTAATGCTAGTCCTTGCAGAAGACAAAATAGAAAAATAAAGGTACAAAAAAGTCCAAAGTATTAGTTGACAGGGAATAAATAAATAAAATCTCTAGCCTTATGATAGATAGATGTTTCAACTCATGCAAATCAGAGCAATTATTAATGATTCTGCTGAATAGAAGCACTATATTTTGAAGTATGTGAGCCAAGTGGCATTACACATACCTAAATAGACAACGATGCTCTTCCTTTTCAAGTCCTTTCCTCATGTCAGCATCATCCACTGAGCTCTAAAGTGCGGTTTGGAGCCTCTTCAAAGACTAAGGACGTCCTCATCACCTAACTTGCCCAAACTTAGCGAAGAATAAATTAGCATCATGTCATTAGCAGCAGCGTGACAGCTCTATCAAGTCACATCACCCAATGGACGTCCGCTTTAGCGGTAAAGGATTAGTAGCCATTCTGCGTGCCACGACGCACGGTGAAACCGATGGCTGCTGATCCTCTGTTTGTTCTTAATAATCAATCGTACTCTTATAATGAACTGATAAGAAACGGATGACTGGCGCAGAGGCTCGCCTTCCCTACTCTATCGCTTTCGAAGCTTGCGGTCATCCTGCGTTGCGCGAGACGGTAGCGGGTCGCTTTTCAAGACGGCACGGCACACCCGCGAGTTGCTCGACGTATTGCGTCACTGAAGGTTGTTTATGAGACATTAAGAGAGAGAGAGAGAGAGAGAGAGAGAGAAGGGATGGGCACATGTGGTTTCAAAGGTATCTACGGTCTCCTCCTCAAATAAAAAAAAAGGGGGAGAGAAAGCAACAGTATTCTTTCACGCACGCTGGAAATTGGAAAACCAGCTGCTATCACAACATGGACTGTCCACTGCGCTCTCTCTATTTGTTAGTCCAGAAAGCATATAAAAAGTGTCTTCCCGTCCTTTTCTTTTCTTTTTCTTCTTGTCTGGGAGACAGTGATCTGCAGGTTTACTGCATTTTTTACTTTCTTTTCAGCATATATTTTTTCCCACCCTGCGGTGCACGCATGTCTCTCAGAAGCATTTCCGCAAACAACTTGCGGTCACGCGCAATGCGTGGCATCCGTCAGCTACCCCCAACCTCCATTACCCATTATTCTACTCCATGCCCCTCCTCCTCTGGTCCCTGGATCTGATGTGACGACCCTTCCCCTTCCCCTTCCCCTTGAGCTAAACACAACCCGGGTTCAGCCACGCGTCTAGTGGTCTCAGAAGCAGGAACGATGGCCCAATTCTTTATCACTTAGCTAATTCCATGACAAATTTGAACTGCTAAAAACTCACCGACGACGACGACGACGACGACGCTTGCGACCATGAAATGACCTCAGCAATAAGATCTCTCGCCTACCGCCTCCTGCGCATAAAAACCGAGAAGGAGACAAGCGACTGATTGCAGTAAGATAAGATGGGATAAGATGTGTGCAGGGGAAGTACTCCGTGTCACAACAGGGTTGCCTTACTTTTTCCGGACAGAATGATAGGACGTGTGTCCTTGCGGGTGTGTTCCCGGAGGAGGTCCCCCTTTCCATGGTTTTGCGATCACTGCCCATAAAGAACACTAACCTTTTGACGTCCGTCTGCTTCTTACCGCCAATTCTCCATGCAGTTCGGAGAGGATCCAAATGCATGCATTCGCTCTCACTCTTACCACCAACACTGCAGATGACCGGCCCCCACCACATGAAAGTGCAGGTTTGCATGCAGTGCATGCAAGTGGTGGTTGGATTTCACAGTGTCATATCTCACGCCGGCGACCGTCAACGTGGTTGGTGGTACTTCAAAGATTACGGCCGTCCCTACTCCCTCTTCGGCCCAGTTGTACATCGAGATAAATCTCTGGGCCCAGCTTGGATACCTTAGATTTTACCTCGATGCCGACAAGATGAGAGGAGGAGAACGATCATTCACATGTTCAGACTCCACCATTCATAAATCCTTGGACAATATATTGTCTTTGCCAATAATTCGAAGCTGCACAAGAAGTGAAAGAGTAGATTGGAAACGAGTTAAAGCTGGCTTAAAGCAGTACAGGGGAACTGGCCATCAATCCCAATCGCATCGCAGTTCAGCAAGCCATGTTCACAGAATCCGCGTGGGCAATGCTGCCGCCAGCTTTTCTGGATTTGACATCGTCGTGCCGTGGCCGACGGTACGGTTCGAGGAGGAGATCGGAGAAAGACGCTGTTCCAAACCCGTGTCGTCCAACACGCACACAACGTCGAGTTGTGCGCCTCCTGAATGCGCCAGCTTTGGTTCTGCTGCTTGTCTTGCGCGGCAATGTTGACCGATTCAAGTGCTCGAGGGATCGGCGCAGACAAAGATCAGACGCGTCAACCGCAGACAAAGGGCAAACCTTCACCGTTTGGTTGATCAATGTTGCTGTGAAAATTATATTAAGTATCTAAAAGAAATAACTGATAATAAAAATATCATTCATGAGATCGGGTAATCAATCAATCACCAGTATATTAATCATTTACATGTGATCAATCAATAACGATCTGATTGCGATAAAAGTGACTCGTAGTCAGGTTTCGATGCTTCCGCGAAGTCTCACGATGGCTTGGACTGCGGGGACGAGCACCGAAAAGTAGGCATTGATGCGGGCGGGCCCAAGCCAACCAAAGTCGGGGCCCACCCACCACGGCCGACGAATGCGACTGTCGGCGTTGCCATCGCTCGACACGTCTCACGCACTCTACTAACGACGAGAGGGGGTGCCTACGTCTCCGGGGGGGGGGGGGGTGACCCGCACGCAGGCGACTCGATTGATCTGCGACGTAACAGAGAAATCTAAATCGATTGGCAAATCCATCGTAGAGAATTGACTTATGAAACGAATTCCGAAGCTTAAATTGGCTATTCCTGAAGATTATTGAGGCAATACGTCAGTCGATTTGACTTGATTGTATCCGAATAATTTTATGGGCCATGAGTTGATACGAACCCCAGAATATGGTGACAAATAAACGTCTATGAATTTGTTGACCTAAGATTGATACATGAGTTATCTGAATAGTCGAATTCAAAGATATCCCCTACTTGTCATTCGTGTATAGCGCTACACATCCCATAACATTAGGGTGAAACATATGGAAACTTTTCTTTCTGTGCTATATTAAGAATCCAAATTCTCAATAAATTCATATTTCTTGAGAGCGAGAGAGGTGAATGGGCTTTTTGGGCGGGTTTTAAAGCGTTCGGCGTTCGTTGGGCCAGACATCTGTCCGAAGAAGAAAATAGATATCCCACTGTACTATATATATATATATATATATAGTGTTTTGCTGGTTGTAAGTATTTACAGACATTTTGACTAATAGATCTACTAGACTATGGATATGGAAGAATGTTTTTGGATTATCATACCTTTTTTTTTTTTTACTCATGCTTTTAGATATGAGAATAGATACCTAAACTAATTGGTTAATATTAGGAGAAAATATTATTGACGTCTTGGTCGATCCAATATAGTCCATACCTATATACGTAGAAATATTCTATCTTCAATATGAAAATATCATGCTCCTAATATATCATCTATACGAATACCCAAGTCGAGAGGGTTTTCATGACAATCATGTGTTGGTTCATAGTAATTCCCTAACTACTAAATCAATTTTATATTGAAAAAATTTTGATCATCGGCTTTGCTTTTAGTAATATTTATTCTATTCTATGGGGTTCAAAAATACATGGCATAAAACAACGTTGTTTACGTATGCATTACGAGTCACATGGTCGATCAAATGAAAAGAAACAATGAGTTCATATATTCGGGTTTAGACCGGCTTTGGAGCCCAACGCCAAGTCGACCTACTCAGAGGACGCAAGTCGATCGGACCAGATTGAGCGAACGCGTCCTACGATGTGGTCAGGTTGGACCAAATAGGATCCCGTTTGAACTGCGCACTGCACATTACATTCGACTTTTCTTTTTTATTTTATATCTTTTGCTTAATTATCTTTTTTCGTCCGCAAATATACAAATGTTATTTTCCGTTTCGATTCTCTTCGACCACTTTCACTACATTGTTCTTCGCTTTTAGAGGCATCGAGAACATAATCTCGATCGGTCTCTCCGCTTCTTTGCACAACCGTTAGGGTTTTGATCGGTTTCTGGCGTCTTCGATCTGCACGACCACCGCCGATGGAGGAGCTTCGTTGTCTCGACGCCGATGAGGCGCCCGGGAACGGAGAGTGTGCGACGGCAGGAGAAGAGGTGGAAGGGGAGCCGCAGGGGCGATGTCTCGACCTCACGAGCTTTCAGCTCCATGACCTGCGTGAGGTCGAGATCCCGGATGACCTCGTCGAGTTGGATCTCACCGCCAACAGGCTTTCCGAGTTGGACCCGCGCATCCATCTCCTCCCGCAGCTGCGGAAGCTCTCGCTTCGGCAGAACCTTTTCGACGACAAGGGCGTCGAGCCCATCTCCCAGTGGAAAGCCAATCGCCGGCTTGCTTGTAATGCTTCCCGTTTTCTCGTTCTTGATAATTCGTTTGAATTCTCTTGATCTTTTTATTAATTCCAAGAGGAGTAATGTGTTACCTTCGTAAATGTCTGTTTTTATTCTTAATTTCTTGCACAAATTTAGTACGTTTATTTCAAAACGGCACAAACATTCTTTTCATCCATGAATGAATTGAATTGTCATCTGAGACGATAGTGAAGCATTGTTATATGATGCAAGTCGAATAGAGTAGGTAGAAATGGATCGACTTGAATAGATGGACGAAAAAAGAACAAGAAGATGGAGAAATATGCACAGGTTCACAGTTTATAAGAGAGGGCATTGCTTCGAATGGCGATAATGCAGAATTTGGTGGCGAGAAGGGAATCTAGAAACAGAGAAAGTGGCCTTGTTATGAGGGTTCCAATATAAATGTTTTGAAGCCCTGGTGACTGCCATTATGGAGCTCTCAAGCGTCACTTTCTTGCAACTTGCGGTTAATGAACAAATGAAAGGTACTTTGATTAGGGAAAGACAAAAGAAGTTGTGCAACGTGCAGCCGACAAACAAAACAAATAGCCAATTTATATGTGAGAAGTGAATAGGCTAGTATTAGTGAAAGGTTAGAGCATTCTGGAAGAAAAAGTTTCACTACTGTTGGAAATATTAATCTTGCGAATAACTTAGCATTTTCTAATATTTTGTGATTTTTAAAATTTTGATTCAACTTTTTTTATTTTCAATCTTAATTCGTTTGATTCCAATCACAAATCTTCGGTTGATGTCTATACTGTGGAGCTTCAGGGAAATGCCTTGGTTGACTGGCACATTCCATTGGAAAAGTTTTATGAAAAAACAACTTTAAAAATGAAACAGATGAAGAGCGAGGTCTATCTTCCATTTACTATGATATAGATAATTAATTTTCATTTTTGTTTAAATATGGAGTGTCAAGGTTTTTGGATTCTTTTATTTGACTAAATCCAAGCCGCCTTTGTTGCTATCTATTATCCACTGGTGGTTGCTTTATTGTGCAGGAGCTGGTACTCCGGGATAACAAGCTGAGAAATATACCTGATGTTAGCATTTTCAAAAGCCTCCTTCTCTTTGATGTCTCTTTCAATGAGATATCTTCCTTGCATGGCTTGTCCAAGGTCTCCGACACACTCAAAGAGCTTTATGTTTCAAAGAATGAAGTCAACAAGATCGAGGAACTTGAACACTTGCATTCGTTGCAGATCCTTGAACTCGGTTCAAATAGATTAAGGGTGAGCTTTTATATCTTGTAACTTTTATCAAAGGCTTTATAGATTGGTAAAAAGCAGTTCCAGAAACTGAATTTGTTTTCCTTAAAAAATATATGTCATCGCGATAATCTTTGGTACTTCTCTGATGTTATAATTCATGCTAATCTTTTTTCCCGATCCTCATGCAAGGTTATGGAGAACTTGCAAACGTTGACAAACTTACAGGAGCTGTGGCTTGGACGAAACCGTATTCGGATGGTCAACTTGTGTGGGCTGAAATGTATCAGAAAAATAAGTTTACAGAGCAACCGTTTGACATCCACGATGGGGTTTCAGGTAAAAGAAACAAAAAAGGTTTTTCTACTGTCGCGTTTCATTACGTATAATACATGATGAATTAATATTATTCTTATTCTAGGGATGCATCACACTAGAGGAATTGTATCTGAATCATAATGGTATCCAAAAGATGGAAGGGTTGTCCACCTTAGAAAACCTACGTGTACTGGACATTTCATCCAATAAACTTACCGTGATTAGTGATATTGACAAACTGACAAGGTATGAATAACTTCTTTGTCTCTCTGGCTCAGTGGTCATCTTTTTTATTTATGCATTTGTCGATACCATGCAGATTAGAAGACCTGTGGCTTAATGACAACCAAATAGCTTCGCTAGAAGGCACTGATGTAGCTGTATGTGGTTCAAGGGAACGGCTTACAACCATTTATCTCGAGCGCAATCCATGTGTATGTTTTTTGAAATTTCAGGGAGTAATTATTTAGTTTTTGATTGGCCTCATTTAATGTTCTTAACACAAGCTTTAGAAAGGCTTGCTTAGGTCACTAGTATGGATATCCTTCCTCGAGCTCGTAAAATTAGAAAAAATTGAGTGATGAATGGATTTCGAATGTGCTAATCTATTTCACTCTGTTAAAAATGTGTTGCAGGCTAGCTCGCCAGATTATTCTACTACTTTGAGGCAGATATTTCCAAACATTCAGCAGATTGATTCAGATATTTTTATGTGAGGGATTCAATGATCATGCATGTTACTGAATATGATCAGTAATCACGTGAGAAATGGATTTTGGAATCACATTTCATGGTACAAGCTACTCAATCTTCACCTACTTAAATTGTCCTTGTAACCTTACTGGTTATTAATCATCCATTTGGTGACTTTCATCCTCACTCGTGAACTGGTGGAATTTGGGAGCAGTTAGAATTATGATGCATTCCTAACAGATAAGTCTGTGTTTTGCTTCTCAGACAGTTTCTGCAGAGCAAACCTTTGTATCAAGTTGGTTTATCAGAAGCAATCTCCTCCTTGGCAACGAATACGGTACCACAGCAAGTTCCAAGAGAACGAAGGTGGAAAATTTTATGCCATTTTTGAAGTGGTGGGTTGAAGTAGAAAAATAGACAATGTGTCCTGCTCTCACTGTGTCAAGAACAGGAAACATGTTGAGCTTCTATTTTGTTAAATGTAATTGTTAAGGTCCTTCAAGCCCTGTTCATAATGTCAATGTTGAAATCTTAAGTTCATAATGTCAATGATGTTAATTACAAGAAAAGCTGTCACGGTTATGCTATCAATCCTTTCTCTTTATTCGCGAATCCAAATCATGAAACAGTAACGACTTAGATGGAGCCTTTAGAGGGAGATCATGGATCTTCTTATATAGGAAGAAAGTAGACCGGTGGACCACAACATTTGGAATGAGCAAAATTTCGACCGGTGGTGGTCTCTCCAATGGAATCGACATCGTTCCGCTCGTGGCTTATCGATTAGTGTCCGTAGGCATTGGGCACACACATTTGCCTGCTTTGAGACCACTCTTTCTTCGTGCTGCATCTGATGCTAATCTATGCCAAGAAAAAAAATTCATGTGGTAAATATCGATTACTTCCCGAAAAATTTATGACATATATCATCAAACTCAACTGGGAATCTATATTCTTTGCCAAAGTAATCGGTACTCTACAGTTCAAGGAAGACCGGTTGATAAGCGTCTGTCACTTCCTCACAAGCTATACTCTTTGGCTTGTCTAGCATCGGTCAGGAATGCGGTAAGAACCAAAACTACAACTGTAAGTTCCTCAGCAACGCTAGAAAATGGCGGCTTACGGAGTCGACATGTTCTCGTCAGTTTGCAATTCTCGTGTTTCATGACAAGCTTTCCTATTTGGATTGTCCGAGTATTGGACAGGTGTGTGAGAGACAAATTGTCGTGTTTCACATGATGTTGAAAGGAGAGGGCTAGTCGAAGGAGGCTTAAAATGTGAGGCATTTGCAGGGTGTTGATATCATGGCATAAAATGTAAGACATTTGAAGGAGGCCAAAGAGTGAGTTCTATATCTATGATAGAAATGTGCCATCCAACTTGAAGAATTCGGGTACATTCCCAGAAATTGAAGTCCTCATAAACAATGTTTTGGTACTGGATGATACAAATGAAATAGAAAGAAGAGATTGTATTGATTGATTGTATTTGACACAATACTCCATATTTATATATGTTTGGAAAAGAAAATTTTCCTCAACAGAGGATGATTTTTCTTAACAGCTTTCTGATATCTTTTCATGTAGTCGGAGAGATCTTGACTGTTGTTTAAATTGATATCAAGGAAGATCTTGACTGTCGTTGAGGTTGTTATCACGGGAGATCTTGACTGTTGTTGAGGTTGTTATCACGGGAGATCTTAACTGTTATCACTAGAAAACTGTGATTTTGTACATAATGCTCGGATTGTCTATAGATTATCATACTGTCAAAGTACAGATTTTATAATGTCCGGGAGCGAGAGAAGAATTCTGAAAATAAAAAAATTATAGAGATCAATAATAAAAAAATACTAAAAAGTTGACGTAAGATTTAACATGATTATATAAATATTTATTTACATCTACAACAAAAATTAAAATTTTGATTTCAAGGTCATCGAGTTATCTCTGCTCAAGCACAAATTTTCTTACCTATCCTCTCATATAAATATTAAAAAAATATATTTTTTTCTCACTCTCTACAGAAGTCCTAAGGAGTATTCACTCTAAAGAAATCCAAAAACACCAAAAATATTCTTCACATCTTACTTTTCGTCTAAAGTAATTCTAAAATACTTGTTAATCATAGCATATAATAAGAAAATATTGACATGCCTTGTATAATTATGTGATCAACCAGCAAACTTACATGATCTATAAGAAGATGACCAGCTCCATCAAGATTGGAACAGATACATGGCAGGAACTTTCTCATTGATGAATTCTTCTGATTTAGACCACCATCTACTTCCATATTCCATACGTGTATCTTTCACCAATAAATTCAATCCACTGCACATCGTCTGCAGATAGCAAAGATTACAACCCACTACGTTGGGAAATTGTGGAAATCCTGCCGATGGAGGAGACAAATGTTGGAGAGCACCAATCCATTTGTCCACCAGAATATTTCCAGGGAATGAGTAGATAACTCTGTAAAATGGAGCGTCACTGAGAGAGTGATTGCATGTTTCGAATATGGATCATATGGTGGACAGGATTTGGCATTGGAAGAACCAGATGAGATGATGAAAGCAATGTGTGCGAGTGACTTCTTGAGCTCCTCATCGCTTCACCAAATTTGGCAAAAGAAAGTTAGAACGTTGTGCTTTATTAGTTTCCCTCGATAATTCTATGCTAGATGGTATTATCATTATGAGAAGAAATAATTCAACAATATCTTAGATTAATTCACATGTACTTATCTTATAAAACAAAGAAAGATCAAGTTCAAGGATACAAACGATTCACACGTGCATAGAAGCAAGTCAAAATCAAGAAAAGATATTGTTTATTATAATTGTAGTGAAAAATGACATTAAAATAATTAATGCAAGCAAACAAAAAAAAAAGAAAAAAAAAAGAACATATAGAGTAAGAAGATAATACTACAACCATAGTGCAGGGTGGCGATTATTTGATTTTATCTACTTCTGATGATATTTTTTCAGGATCTCGAGTGAGTGATTAACATAGGTGTTTCTTATCATGCTACACTGTGGATGAAGTTTTTTGTTATTTATAGGTCTAAAAATTTTGGTATTGTCAAGATGGACAACTATAACATGGTAAACATCATCAACATGAGTGATATCTACATAAAGATCAACCTTAGCTACAAGTTGGTACTTAATGATATGAGGGATATGATTGACTTGAGACTGAATTTAAATCTAGTTGGAATGCTAGATGATAAAGGCTTTGATAACAGATTTCACATAAGACAATGGAAGCGAGTTCTCTTATTGTATCTAGTGGAAAGAAATATCACACTTTCTATAAGTTGTAGACTAAAACTTGTAATGAGCAATTAAATACTATAGAGAAAGATTTCAATATAAGATTATGACATATGTAACTGGGGCTCATGAGCGAGAGGTTGTAAAATCTCATCCGAATTCAAACTCAAGTAATTTTTAACATTTTTTCTTAATATTTTTTTTTTAATTTTTAAATTATTTTGGAATTGAACTAAAACTATTAGTTTGGCCTGAAACCATAAAACCATTGATCGATTCCGATTTTGACTAGTTCACTTTAAACTAAATCGTGATCACGACAACCTTTATTTCTAGATTCAATAATTAAAAAATCTAACATAATATTACTCAAATGCTTGAATTTCAAGCAAGAAATTCAGATTAAAAGTTAAAAGGTTTTGGATTACATCTATCTGCATTATCATGTATGGTATTTTGACTAAATTAACTCAAACTCGACGATGAATTTAGAGGGAAGAGGTAACATAAATTACAACTGAAACTTGCATGGTTATGAACCGAAAGCTTAGAGGAAAGACACCGCCAAAGGTGGCTTTCAACTTTGGTAGTGGTGGTGGCGGCGGCGAAGGTGGCGGCTGTGTATTACAAGGACGTGTCTCTCGTGCTTGCTTTGCGAGGTTCCTCCACCCCCACCCCACTACTAATCAAACCCCCCCCCCTTCCCTTTGGAAAGTAGAGAATCCAAGCATTCGTTTCTGTAACGCCTTGTCAGTTTGCTCAGCTTTTTCGTATGTTTTCTTTTTTGTAAAAATAAAAAAAAGTTAGATTAATCAGAGCTATAAAATTAGAATGGATTGATATCTATCCTCCAGACGAGAAAAGAGAAAGAGAATGATTATTCATCCTATAAGAACTACAAGATTATGAGAGAGATCACAATATTTAAAATGGACAATATTCAACTTGGAAGTCAGAAAGCAGATGTAAAAGATAATATGGTAAGGAGACCCAGCGTTTCTTTGCATGGTCATTCTTTTTGGTCAATGCTTCCCTAAACCCTTCATCTTCGCATAAGAGTCGAGAGATGATGGTGTGTCCGATCTTGCCATGTATTATTTTCAAGCTTCATTGTTAATGATAGCGTTCGAGATGTTTAATGTGGCTTAATTATTGTTAATGATGGTGTGTTTGATTATGCCATGCATTATATCGGCCGAGCTTTTATCGAGCCTCATTGCAACCGAGAACGCATTAATTAGTTTTTTTTAAAGGATAAATCATAAAATATGATTTAATTTCAAAACCGAGAACGCATGCCGTTTAGTAAATCCATAATTCAATTATATATCATATGTCAGTGTTTTTTTTACTCTGATTAAATGGACAATTGTACGGTTGGATAAATTCTGAAAATATTAGAATTTTGTACCTCCCAACGTTAAGATTTTATGATCACAGATTGGCTCGTTTGTAGGTCACAGATTGCACATGAAGTTTGATAGGATATATGTGGAGTTAATATTTATTTAGACTCCACGGTCGAATATATTAAAGTCAACATCTGCTGCAATAACATTGCTTATTCTCACACCAACCTACGCTATATATCTGCTTCGACTCACGTCATATAGCTTCGTTGACGATCGATGATCTCCTCTCACTTGCCGGAGCGAGTGGCTTTCTCAGCAGGACCAACTTGCCTTAACAGCTGCCATGACAGAGGTGAGGGCATCAAATGCATGAGGAAGTCTGAGAGAAGAGTTTTAAGGGTGTCAGAAAATGGAACCTGGAAGTAGTTCTCCAGCTTCAGCCTCAGGGTCGAGTGCTCCTTCTTCACCTTCTGAAACGATCGTAGGCACCTGAAAGAATGTGAGCGAACAACGCAATCAAACAGTAGCCATGGAGAAGACGATGCATGGCATGCAGTATTCAAAAGCGGAAGATTGTGGAGGAAAAGAGATGAGTTTGGCACCCTTCGGAGTTTCGTTTCTCACAGTATTCTCTGAAGACGGTGCAGTCTTTCATCATCTTCGCGGCGCCGATGCTACACCAATCGCGTAAGCTTACATTAGCCAACGCTATGAACATCATCAAAACTAGATGGCCAAGTACGAGTTGAGGGAAAAAGAAAGAAGATGAAGAGAGTCTAAGAAAAGCTTGTGATCTACCATCTCAAAACCTGGTAGTCAATGTGAGAACG